AGGGTCGAGCTTGATGTTCAAGCTGTTTGCCTGCTGCTCACCACAATGCACTGTGCCCTGACAGTGCATTGTGATTGACCAAAGCAATGCTTTGACTAGGTGCAATGCTTTGGCCAATCACAGCGCATGATGATGTCACATCATCACAGTATTTAAGAACTGACAGGCTGGCACAGTTGTCAGATAGCCGGCAGCCAGCATAGAAAGCAGAGTTTTTTTTTTTTTCTTTATTCAGGTCGGTGGTAGTGGCAGGCATCATGATTGACGTTGGATCTACTTTGGGGGATATTTCTTTTTATTTTTGTTTTTAATAAAGGACGTGTCATTCTGTAATTTTTTTACACTACACTGTTTTTTTTTTTGTGAATGAGTAGCGGTACCATGTACCCCATACTCATTCACATGGGGGAGCCAGGATCTAGGGGCCCCCTTGTTAACCCCTGCAGACCCCCACAACCGCCGGCCACGGTTGTTGTGGTGAAGAGACCCTTGTCCCCATCAACATGGGAACAAGGTGCTTTGGGGGGAAGCCCCCCTGCCCCAAAGCACCCCCCCATGTTGAGAGCATGTAGCCTGGTATGGTTCAGTAGGGGAGGCGCTCACTCACCCCCCCCTTCCTGACCTGCCAGTCTGCATGATCGGGTAAGGGTCTAGTATGGATATTGGGGGGGACCCCACACCATTTTTTTTTAATTCTGGCATGGGGGTTACCCTCAAAATCCATACTAGACGCGAAGGGCTTGGTATAGATGGTGGGCAGGGGCGGACTGACCATTTGAAAACCCGGGCACTGCCCGAGGGCCCGGAGTCAGTAGGGGCCCCATGAGATGCCCCTGGTACCTTTTTTATAGGTTTTTTGGGTTTGGGCAAGGACACAGGGGTCCCATGATCCCCTATTGCCCAGGGGGTCAGTAGGGGGCCCCATGAGATGCCCCTGGTACCTTTTTCATAGGCTTTTTTGAGTTTGGGCAAGGACACAGGGGCCCCATGATCTCCTATTGCCCGGGGGGCCCCATGAGTTGTCAGTCCGCCCCTGATGGTGGGGGCATGCATTTAAAAAAAAAATGTAATTGCTTACATTCAGCTGTCAGCGGAGAATCGTGCTGGCAGCTGAAACTTTAAATAATGTCTTCACTACTAAAATACCGCATGACTTAATAATATAACTCATGTGGTATTTTAGTGGCTGTGCCGTATCTTATCGCATACTCAGATGTGTACTAAGATACCGCTTAGTGAATTGTTCCTGTTCGAAGTTCGCAGTTGAACTTTCATTATGTGTGAATGTTCGACTGCGTTTCGGTCCATCACTACCACCAAACGCACTATAGCTAAGGCCTGGAAGAAACCTTCTGCATAATTTACAGTGGTGAAGAGCAATTTGGCTGCCCTGATGATAAATGAAAAATATCCAGTATTCTACATGATTCTCATGCTTTCTTTAAGTTTCTTAAAGTGTGAGCTCCTTGGTGGCCATATGCTCTTCCCACCCTGCACCCAACCAGCCTGGGCAACCTTTGATTGATGTTACTTATGCCCAAGCCTGTAGGATCCTCCCTTTGCCTTCCTTCTCCCCTTTCCCATTTCCTTCCTTCTCCCCTCCCTCTATCTCCCTACTTCTCTACCCCTGAAGTCTCTCTCTCTTTCTCTCTCTCTCTCTCTCTCTCTCTCTCTCTCTCTCTCTCTCTCTCTCTCTCTCTCTCTCTCTCTCTCTCTCTCTCTCTCTCTCTCTCTCTCTCTCTCTCTCTCCCTCCTTTTGCAATTGGTTTGCTGCTTCACTTCTCATGTTTCTCCATGGTATGTCGCTAGGTCCTTGGGCTTATTTTACATGTGTATGAGCACAAATACACACATATGTGGATGTATGGCTCCTACTGTACGTTGTTCAGTTGACACTGTGAATTATAAAATTGTTTAGTTACATGAGATATTACTCATGCCTTTAAGCTATGCTGTTTGTTTTGAACCCCTACATGGGTGACCAGTTGTCATGTCATATTTGCATACATCAATAAAAATTATTGTCCCAGAAAAGACAAATATTCAAAATAACTGCCTTGGCTTAGAATTAGCCTCTTGTAATCCTGTATACAGCAGTACTGAAAATGGAGCAGGAAGAGCAGATCTGGGAGCCAGGCAGGTATATTACTGCAATTGTTTTGAAAAAGAAAATGCTGATAGGAGAAGAGAGCAGAATGAGCAGAGGGGTAAACTAAACAGTTTGAACCTGCTTTTTCACTGTTTGATTAGCAGCCTTAGGCCTCTTGCACACTGCTGCATTTTTACCCTCATTTCTAGGCATAAAGGTATTTTTTTTACTGTTCTAAATGCAGCCCATTGTATTCCATATGCCTGTACATACAGGTGTTTTAAAACATGCGCTGTGTATAGATGAGGAAAAATACAAATCAAAAAATTTGAGTTGCTGTTCAGTATTTTACATGTGTATGAGCACAAATACACACGTATGCATGTAAAATTTTAATTTGAGGTTAAAATACTATTCTGAGAGCTAGATTTTTTTTTCTACTTGTGCAAAAAGGAGCAAAATAAACACAACAAATTCTGGCCAGTACTGTGTGCAAGTACTTTTAGAGTGAAGATAGGACACCACTGTATTCTGTATATGGATTCATCCACCTGGTTGTTTTGTAGGGCAGAACTGTGCTGAATTTTATGTTGAAACTGTTTTATTCAGTTTTCAAACAGTACAGAGCACAATTGTACATGTCTATAGCCAGTAAGTGTATAGAGATGCATATTGTCCAGAGTAATGTAAGATGAGACATCACAAGGTTATGATAAAGTGAAGGTCATTAAGACATAGTAAGACTAGCAAAGCATTTATAGATACTGTTAGTACCATAACTATCTGATATTCTAATGTGAGAAATCACAATGAAAAAGCATAATGGTGCTACCATCTATATAAGAAACATGGTTGCATAGTTAGCCTGGCTGAAAAAAAGACAAACATCCATCAAGTTCAACCATAAAAAAAATTTTTTTTTAAAAAAAGTTATAAATCCTATACCCACAATTGATCCAGAAGAAGGTAAAAAACCCAGCAAAGCATGGTGAAAATTGTTCCAGCAGGGGAAAAAAATTCCTTCCTGATCTCCAATCAGATATTCTCTGGATCAACTTTACCTGTAAATGTTAGTAACCAGTTATATTATGTGTATCCAAGAAAAAATCCAGGCCTTTTTTAAAGCACTACACTGAGCTGGCCAGAACCAACTCTTGAGGGAGTCTATTCCACATTTTCACAGCTCTTACTGTGAAGAAACCTTTCCGTATTTGGAGATTAAATTTCTTTTCCTCGAGATGTAAAGAGTGCCCCCTTGTCCTCTGTGATGACATCAAAGTGAATAACTCTACACCGATTTCACTATATGAACCACTGATGTATTTATACATGTTGATCATATCCCCCCTTAATCTTCTTCTCAAGAGAGAATAAATTCAGTTCCTCTAATCTTTCCTCATAGTTCAGCTCCTCCATGCCTCTTATCAGTTTGGTTGCCCTTCTCTGCACTTTCTCCAGTTCCCCAATGTTCTTATTGTGAATTGGTGCCCAAAACTGAACTGCATATTCCAGATGAGGTATTACTAATGATTTGTACAGGGGTAAAATGATATCTCTCTCTCTGGAGTCTATACCTCTTTTAATACAAGAGAGGATTTTGCTTGTTTTAGCAAACCGCAGTTTGGCATTGCATGCCATTATTATGTTTATGACCTACCAGCTCCTCCATGCCTCTTACCAGTTTGGTTGCCCTCCACTGCACTTTTTCCAGTTCCCCAATATTGTTTTTGTGAATTTGTGCCCAAAACTGAACTGTATATTCCAGGTGAGGTTTTACTAATGATTTGTACAGGAGGAACTCTCTCTCTCTCTCTCTCTCTCTCTGTAGTCCATACCTCTTTTAATACAAGAGAGGATTTCTCTCACCTTGGATACTGCAGCATGCCATTATTAAGCCTATGATCTACCAGAACTCCCAGATCCTTCACCATTGATTTCCCCAGTTGTACCCCCCCTAGTATATATGATGCATGCATATTCTTAGCCCCCAAGTGCATAACCTTATATTTATCAACATTAAATCTCATTTGCCACATATTTGGCCAATTAAACAGTGCATTGAGGTCAGCTTGTAAGTTGGAGACATCCCTTATGGATGTTATTCCACTGCACAGCTTGGTGTCATCTGCAAAGACTGAAATGGGATTTTTAATCCCAGACCCTATATTGTTTATAAATATATTAAAAAGTAAGATCCCAAAACTGAACCTTGGGGTACACCACTGACAACCCTAGACCATTCAGAGTATGAATCATTAACCACTACTCTCTGAATACGATCTTTTAGTCAGTTTTCTATCCATTTACATACAGATTTTTACAAGCCCGTAGACTGACACTCTAGACATGTGTGGGGAACTGTGTCAAATGCTTTTGCAAAATTCAAGTATAAGGTCCACAGCCACTCCTCTGTCCAAGGTTTTTCTCACCTCCTCATAAAAAGAAATCAGACTTGTTTGACAACTTCTGTCTTTCATAAATCCATGTTGTCTGTTGCTCAAAATATTTTTTTTCCAGCAAGAACTCATCTATGTGGTCTTTTAGTAAACTCTCCAGTATCTTCCCAACTATAGAAGTTAAACTAACAGGTCTATAACTACTTGGTAAAGATTTAGATCCCTTTTTAAATATAGGCACCACATTGGCCTTACACCAATCCAGTGGTACTATGCCAGTCATTAACCTCTTGCCGACCGCGCATAGCCGAATGACGGCTTCACCGCGGCCGGCCAGTTCTGGGTGGACGTCATATGACGTCCTCCCAGAACGCGCTCTCCTGCGCACCCGGCGATCTCCGTGATCGCTGTGTCCTACAGACACAGCTGATTACGTGATGTGGTAAAAGGCCAATCACAGCGGCCTTTTACCACGTGATCAGCGGTGTCCAATGACACGCTGATCACAGGGAAATGCAAGTGCCGGTTCTCGGCTGCACTTTCCTCACGCTGTCAGATCGTGAGGAAAGTACTGCCGAGAACCGGCAGTTGTCAGAGCGGGGATCGGCACCGATCATCAGGGCACTGATGATCAGTGCCCTGATGATCGGTGCCCAGCAGTGACACCCGCAAGTTCCGCCCAGCAGTGCGCCCACTAGCTCCGCCCACCCGTGCCCAGCAGTGCCCCCACCTGTGCCCAGCAGTGCCCCCACCTGTGCCACTCTGCAGTGCCACCTACCTGTGCCCAGAAGTGCCACCTACATGTGCCCAGCAGTGCCACCCACCTGTGCCCACCCACCTGTGCCCACCAGTGCCACCCACCTGTGCCCACCAGTGCCACCCACCTGTGCCCACCCACCAGTGCCGCCCACCAGTGCCACCCACCAGTGCAGCCCAGCAGTGCTGCCAGTCAGGCCCAGGGGTTGTGCCAGTCAGTGCCGCCAGTCAGTGCCCAGCAGTGATGCCAGTCAGTGCCGTCTATCAGTACCCATAATCAGTGTCACCTATCAGTGCCGCCTATCAGTGCTGCATATCAGTGCCGCCTATCCGTGACCCCTAATTAGTGCTGTCTATCAGTGCCGCCTATCCGTGCCACCTCATTAGTACTGCCTATCAGTGCCCTTTAGTGCTGCCTATCAGTGCCCATCAGTGCCGCCTATCAGTGCCCATCAGTGCTGCCTCATCAACGCACATCAGTGAAGGAGAAAAAATACCTGTTTGAAAAATTTTATAAAATTTTACTTTTTTTTTTTTTCAATTTTTTTGCAATTTTTTTATTTATAGCGCAAAAAGTAAAGTGCCCAGTGGCAATTAAATACCACCAAAAGAAAGCTCTATTTGTGAGAAAAAAAGGATCAAAATTTCATATGGGTACAATGTTGCATGACTGCGCAATTGTCAATCAAAGTGCGGCAGCGCTGAAAGCTGAAAATTGGCCTGGTAAGGAAGGGGGTATAAGTGCCTGGTAGGCAAGTGGTTAAGGAGTCCCTAAAAATTAGAAACAATGGCTTTGAAATGACAGAGCTCAATTCTTTAAAAACCTGTGACTGTATGCCATCTGGTCCAGGTGCTTTATTCACCTTTATACTGTCTAAAAATTTTGGATCATATCAATTGTGAGCCAATGTGGATCATCTGGGGCTGTGTCAATACCATGCCATACTCCTTTGTATACACAGAACTAAAGAAGGTATTTAATAAATTTGCCTTCTCTTTGTCTCCAGTCACCCACTCTATATTATTTTTTAAAGTGCTTACGTGCTTGGACCGGACCTTTTTACTATTAATAGATTTTAAGGATTTTGGGGGTTTGTCCTGCTGTCTTTTGCAAGCTGTTCATTTTCAATTTTTGCAGCCTTTATTTCCTTTTTGCATATCCTGTTATATTCTTTGTAATGTTTAAATGATAATTGCAGTATGGTCCAGAGCACCATGCAAATAGATGAAAGATATTAAGTCCATAGAGAGAGGAAGAGAACAAATGAACCACTGCGGACAGGCGGTAGCTGCAGGCAAAGCGACGTACCCCTTACTTCGCTTTCCTCTTCCGGGTTTAGATCTCGCATGCGCACACCCCCCCACTGTCCTCCACTGTCATTCGTTGTAGGAAGTGTATGTCAGCAGGTCTCAGCCAATGACTTTGGCCAGGACTTTGCTGATCTCCTACAGCAAATGGAGATGCAGAGCTGTGCCTGTATTTGTAAGTACAAGCACAGGATCTAGCTGGTTCTTTTCTCCCTGGAACCATTTTGTTCCAGAGAGAGAAGAATGACATCACACGTGAGTAAAAGCAGCACACTGCACCCACACATCTTAGAGACATTTTAACCCCTTGCTTGCCACATTTAATCCTTTGATTGCCCCCTGCCAGTGCCATTAGTACAGTGTCAGTGTACAGTATTTTTCACTGATCACTGTGTTAGTGCCACTAGCGATGTCAGATAGCGTCAGGGTCAGTTAGGGGTCAGTTAGGGGCGTCCCTCCCAGCTAGGGTCAGCTAGCGTTAGATAGCCGTACACTATCAAACTCATGCTATAGGTCGCTGATCACTGTCATTACTAGTATAGTGTTTGTACAGATCAATATATTGATCACAAACAAAACTATACCAGTGCCCCCTTAGTATTAGTGTCCCCAAAAACATAGTGTTTGCAGGATCATCCCCGTTCGCTGCCAGCAGTAGCGTTTAGCCCCAACGTTCCCCCCCCCCCACTCCTAACAAGAAGTGCAGTGTCAGTATAATTTCTGATTACTGTCACCTGTAATACATTGCACACAAAACCAGTGTTTGCAGAATCAGGCCTGATCTCCGTCAGTACTTGCCAGTCATTTTTTTTGTAGCGGTTCAAGCAGTCCAGGTGCGCTTTTTCCCGTGAATCGCACTATGTACCTGTAAATTTAGAGTACAAAACATCCAACGAAAAGTACACTAGTGAAGAGGCCTACAGGATTCTGAGCATGTCAGGTGAGAACAAAGGGGAGGACTCATTGACACAATCAGCCTCAGAATATGAACCTGTACACAGCAGCGGCACCCTGACAGGTAGCTCGGACGATGGAAAAGAGGTCCCTGTTAAGATCAGGTGTACGCGACCCCATGAAGCTGAAGTGCTAGGATCGCATGACTTGTCTCATATGCAGCAGAGTGCCAGTACTAGTGACGCACTACCTTTTGGTGAACTGGTGAGCACCAGCAGCCTACTACATCCTGGTCTTTTTTTATTCCAGCATTGCAGTATCACTTGGTGACAAGGCGAGTCCCATAAGTGCAGCACAAGCTGGTGCGGTGGCGAACACAAGTAGTGTCCCACGGCCACCAAGAATTCGCACACAGGCCCGTAGAGCCCCTAGTGTCCTTCCAGACATGCTTGCAAATCCTGATTGGCAGCCCATAGTTCTGCAGCACCCATACTTCCCCCATTCACTGCCCAACCCGGAATTCAGGTGGAAACAGCAAATTTTAATTTGATTTGGAGCTGTTTTTCACAAAGGATTTGTACAATTTGATTGTGGACCAAAGCAATTTATATGCTCAACAATATATCGCCACAAACCCAAATTCAAACCTTACCAGACCATTCGCATGGAAACCCATTACGGTTTCCGAAATTAAAACTTTTTTGGGCCTAACCCCCAACATGGGCATTACAAAAAAGAATGAGTTGCGGTTGTATTGGTCCACAGACCCGATTCATCATATGTCCATGTTCTCTGCTGCCATGACCAGGCATAGATATGAGACGATAATGAGCTTCATGCATTTCAGTGATAAGGGCCACAGGCTATACGTACAAATTTAGGGTTTATGAGGAAGAGACAGTAAAGTAAAGCCCTTCAACTGCCCAGACTACCTGGGGAGCAGTGGCAAGATAGTTTGGGACTTGGTGTCATCTTTGTTCCGTAAGGGGTACCACTTATACGTGGATAATCTCTATACAAGCATGCCATTCTTTAGACATTTGTACAATCTTGGAATTGGCTCATGCGGCACCATGCGACCTATTCACTGGGGGTTCCCCCAACGGCTTATAAATACCCAACTTAGAAAGGGAGAGAGAGCCTTCTTGAGGAAGGATGAATTGCTCACAGTGAAGTGGAAGGACAAATGGGATGTTTTTGTCCTGTCTTCGATTCACGCATATGTGACAGTCCAAATTAACACGGTATCTGGCGTTGTTGAGAAACCCCTCTGTGTCCACAACTATAACCTTAACATGGGAGAGGTGGACTTCAATGACCAAATGATGAATCCGTACCTAGTTTTCCGAAGAGCTCAAACCTTTTAATTGGCTATATATAACGGTTTTGTAATTTACAAAGCAAATGGACGAAGTGGATCCTTCCTGAAATTCCAAGAAGAGATCATCACGGTCCTTTTTATCCAGAAGTTGCTGTGGCCCAATACTCAAAGCCACACACACTTTTTCTGGCAGAGATTTCTTCTTTTTTCTTCATTCAGCCCACAGACTGCATACAAAAAAAAGAACATAGCATATACACCCAAGGACCAGAGACGTACTGGCATATCACTGAACTTTAAGTGGTTATAACAGGATGATGCCCCCCCCCCGCTGCCTTCCACGGCCTTCTCGGGCAGTCCCATGCCATCAGGGGAACCTGAAAATGCAGCTGGTGTTTCTGCTAGCTGACCATAGAGCTGATTGGAGATCGGAATGGTGCCAATCATCTCTATAGTCTAAGAAATCGGAAGCTACGAGCATTTCATCACTTCAGTTTCACAGGATATAAACAGCACCATTTGTAAATTGGGAAAGCATCTGATCACACCGATCTTGGTGAGATTAGATAATGTAAGGGCAGAGGAGATATCTAGAGTCTGATAGACCCCAGATTTCTCAAAAAAGAATATATGACAATGCCTATTGAAGTTATAGGGGATATTTGCATTCCCTGTGATGGCATTAAAAGTGATCAAAAAAAAAAAGGGACAGTGTAAAAACAATAAAAAAAAATCAAATTAACTTATAAAAACCCTGTGTGCACAAGTGTTGACCCTGTGCCAGTATGTAAACAGCGGTTGCACCATGCATATGAGGTGATCGCCCCGAACGTCAGATCAAGGCCAGTAATTCTAGCACTAGACCTCCTCTGTAAATATAAAATGGTATCCGGTAAAGGCTTTTAAAGTGTTGTCTACGGATATTAAAAATGTATGAAGTTTGTCATTATTGCACGGGGCATGCACAGTTTTAAATCATGTTATGTTTGGTATCTATTCACTCGGCATGCCATCATCGTTTACATTTTACGAAATAATTGGCCAATATCTTGTGTTTTTGTGCATTAAAATAAAAATAAAAAGTAAAATTTGCATTTGAAAAATCGCTGCGTGAGTACTAAGTGACATAAAAAGTTGCAGGAATTCTGAAGGGCCCTCTGCACACTGTAAAGTAGACCTAAACTATTTGCTGAGAGGCATATTGAGTCAATAGAAGAATGTATTTTTTTTACCACAAGTTTTTTGAAAATGACAAAACAAAAATATTTGTTTTTTTACAAAAAATTGTCATTTAAATGATTTGTTGCTCACACATACCATTGATATATGTGGAATTACTCCCCAAATTAAATTCTGCTACTTCTCCCGTGTATGGGGATACCAAATGTGAGAGACTTTTTGGCAGTCTAGCCAAGTACAGGATCCCAAAATCCATTAGGCACCAATAGGCTTTTAAAGGGCTTTATTTCATCATTACAGGATAGCACCAAACCCCCCAATTGACCCCTTTTTGGAAAGTAGGCACCCCAAGGAATTTGATAAGAAGCATTGTGAGTATTTTACAGATATCGTTTGTTGCCACAATTTTTGGAAAATGAAGAAAGAAAACAAAAAC